CAAATATAAAATAAATGTTTTGACAGACAATAAGCGATTAGGAATGTCCTAAAACTTGAATATCAAGGAAGGAATTCCGAGGACGTGCAGAGGCAGGTGACCTTTGTAAAATGTGAATCACCGGATTTACAACGTAACGAAGCGTCACACCTCGTTGCGCGGGAAACGTTTCCTCGAGAGGGAACGATCGGACCCTCCGAGTGCATTTAAAAAAAAAGGGAAGAGCAACTTTTTCCCGTGGGAACCGCGTTAGTACGAGTATCGTTCATCCTAGTTGATTCGATCCGACCTCGCGGGACGTGGAACTCAGTCAATTAAATACTCGTTTCGTGGAGTGCTCGTGTCACTTACAAAGTCAAATGTCAACCGATAGAACCTGCTCGACAAACATACGCAATAACGAAGAAAGGAAGCCTCGTATTTACGTCACATCCTTTCGGTTCTACCGATTTGAATTAAAAAAGAATCTGTCAAACGACGTTCGATTTTTAAGAATAATTCAGGAGGAAGTAGCATTAAAAATTTAAACCTTAAACGATTTGTCACAGTTGAAACGCGTTAATATTTCCGATTACCAAGACATTAATCATCGTCATTTGTCCACGAAAGAAGATGCATTAAATTGGCATTTAAATTTAGGAAGAATTACGATTTTTTATCTACATAAAAATTGCGATTATTTTCGACTTTTTTTCGTCAATTGTGCGCGACGCTTTACTTTCACCACGCGGCATCCGAAGTTAATACCGGCGTTGCGCAACACGGCACGCAGCGCAATGAAACCGTGGCCGGTTCGTTGCTGCTCTTTACAATGATGTGACCTACCTAGGACCGGGCCGACCGGCTGGAAATAAGTCATTTCTCTATTAACGCCCCTATTATGCGGCGCTCGCAGTCACGTCACCGTGAACAAAAGTTTGCTGAACCCGAGATTCGCGAATAATTGCTATGGAATGAACTAAGAATTCTACGCGTTTGTACAAATACCAGCAGACCCGTTGCCATAATCATCGTAAGAGAGCTAATTATTATGTTAAATACAGGATTAAGGCTATACGAACCGTAAAATCTCTGACATGAGTTTAAGATATGTAATAAAAAGTTATGTCCAATATTTGAAGCAACGAACTTTCAGAAAAACTGATAATTACAGAGGAGTCAGGTTTATAAAATTGTTCGACCTATTTTTCTTGATCATAAGGAACTTTTAACGCATAATTTCTAATATTCTAATACACAGTTTTGGCATTTTTTTATTGTACTGTACGTGACTTGCAACTGTCTACATTTCCTATAATTCTTACTTTTGCATACTTTTTATTGCATATCTTAAATAATATCCTCGAAATTGACATTATTAATTCTGACAATAAATTCTGTCATTGTTCCATTTATATTTTTTCATAAATCAAATCAAAACTCTGTCATTCGACATAAGAATGCAAGATGTAATAACTTTTTTCTCGTCTCGCAAAATTTCTAAAATTTTGTACAGTGTTTCTAATCTAAAATCTACTAACTGTTAAAATTTCAACGCTTCATCATTATTTTTATGTAAGGGTTCAAACAATCTTGAATCTGTCTTCAGATTTCTGTACAAGAAAACGCGTTCTTATCTAAATTGACAAACGTCGTATTTTGCATAAACATCCATGAACTAATTACCATTATATCATGGTTCTAACTTAATTAAACAATCTCTAATCTCACTGCAGAACGTCGAAACTTTTTTGTAATCATAGATAACTTTTAACCCTTAAACGCATGATTGCACAATGTTAAATACGATAATTACAAATCGCATGTCAAATCGAGATGGTATAGTATTCGACCGATTGGATTTGCATCTAATCCGTAACTAAAAACTGTTATAACTGTCGCTTTATCATGCTCAATCCCGCAGTATGTAATTAAATCATTTGTAAATAACTGAGTACATAATTTCTAATATAGAGCATTAGCCTAAAGCGGAATAATTACCAGTTGATTGGCATATAAAAAACAATGGAACGTTCATCTAATTCTCAACGATGCCAGGCAACCATAGATAACCACGATTTACATTTTATCTGTTTCTTTTTTTAGCATATCGCGAGGCTCACGAATTTCCGTTGTTATTTTTTCACACGTAACTCGTGCTGCGTGAATCGTAGGAAAGACGATAAACCCATTTTTCGACGTTCTATTTATGCATTACGCGACAGCGGAAAGTCTGCCAAAATTCGCTGCCAACTACGTGTGCTTAGAACAAATTCATAAAACTGTACAACCCGCCGAACGGCACTCGTCTATTTTGTATAAACTTTTGTTTACCAAATTTGTTGCTGTGAAATCTGCTTGGTAATACTTGTATTAATTCATTGCGAGACTCTTGTTTGTCATCTTATAGTCTTGCGTCAATTGTTAAACAAACAGGTTGTTGCGTAATCGGACGTCTGATCGATTTCAGCAAGAGTGACTAAATTCTTTTTTCAACACGCGAACATCGCAACAAACGCGTACCAATTACCTAAATACATATTATGATTCCCGCCGATTAGGATCGCGACATTCCGTCGCGTACGGACTTCAGATTCAGATGTAACGTTTATTGAAATTCATATCGCTTCCGTGTACAATTGATACGCGTACGTATATTCCACGACCGGAATACCAATTTTACCGCCTTCTGTAATAAGTGAACCGAATTTGCATTCTACGTGTCGAGTTAATTGTAGGAGGAAGAATGTTTGATCATCTCGTCTCCAAACACTGTATACAAAAATTGATTGTACTTCAATACCCAAAATGCTAATAAAATGTATAAAACAGTGAATCGTTCTATTTCTTTTTTTAAATGTTTAAATGCAAATATCATTTGGCTTATTAAACGTTTCGCAAATAATTGAGACGTGCAAAATGTGGATCTAGCTTGGTCACGAGAAAATGCACAGCACGTGCGGTCGTTCTAATTAAATTCTCCGGTTACAAACCGTTCCCAGGCCCCGCGGCTGTTATCGACGTATGAAACCGCGATATCGCGCCCTTATGCGCTATTATCCGGCCTCTTTCATTCGAAATTACCTC